GTAGGGACTAGTCCCTCATTTATACAATTTAGATATGCTCCAGAATCTATTAGTGCTAGTGTATGGAAGCTATACTCTTTATTGACTATTATTTTGACTAAGGTAAACCATTTTTGGGTAACAACTTTGTTAAGCAAGTTTACCTGATTATTTTTTTAGAATAGGACTAGTAACCTGTTCAGTTTTAGAAGATTCCGGTATATCTTCTATTGGAGAGGAAGGGATTTTAGAATTGTTTATTATAATATATTATTAAATTCTAATTCATCATCTGTATTTTCAGGAGTGTCATGGGGATTTGACATTAATTCTAATATTCTAATTCTATTTTTAAGAATTGTTATTTCATTTTTGACTTCTCCTATTTCATGTTTAAGATCAATGATGGAAGGTTCTTTTTGGTCTTCATTATTTTTATTATTTATTCTTTTTAGTATTTTTGAAAGACTATAATCCTCTTGAGTCTTGACTAAAGGGTATTGTTTGTTTTAGATTTAGCTATTTGGATGTATTGTGTCAATGCATCTCTTTTTGCTTATGGATCAGATATTTATCAATTAATTCTATAATTAGATTTTCTTCATCAGTTAATGTATTACAAAAACTATCATTGATTTCTTCATCAGAATCTGAACTACTGAATATTAAAGATTCATCTTCTAATTCTCCAATCAATGGTTCATTTTCAGAAGTTGATGAACTATCTTCCGACTCATTATCTATTTGTAAAATTTGAAATATCTGTCTTTTGATTTCTTCCTCTATATGTAGAGCAATAATTTTCTTTTTTATTTTGCATTTATTTTTTGTAGTGTCCTACTTTTCCACAGTTATAACAGACTAGTAATTTCTGTCTTCTTTTTGAGGTTTTGAAACTATTTTTTGGACCAAACTTTTTAGTAAATCATCCTTTTTACTTATCTTTTTATTAGATTTATATTTCTTATCTTTATATCTCTTTTTAACTGGCTTATTAGATACTGATATGGTGTTATATCCAAACTGCTCACAGAAGTCTCCTAGTTCTTTTTTTCCCGTCATTCTTTGTGTATCAAGTTGTCTTTTTAATTTTAAATCAGTGCAAAGGGCAAGTCCTTGTGAGCAAATTTCTGTCGAAAGTTCTCCTAAAGTGTATAAAGAATAGGGAATTATACCTCCATGTTTATTTTTCAACCTAGTTTTTACCTTTTCAGCAAAAAGGTAAGGTAATCCTCCTATGAATTTCTCTTTCCAATGATCCGCACTACTATCCTCCTGGGAAAGAAGACAAGAAAAGAATATGCCTTTATACCATTTGTTGTGGGATAATGTTGGACATCTTAGATTGGATAAAAGGTCTTCTGATCTGGCATCTAACAGTGAAGTACTAGCTACAAAGTGAAGAGTTATGGTATAAATGAGTGTATTGACTGCATCACTCTCACTAAAATGTATACTACAAAGTGAAGAGTTAGGTGCGCCTCACTAAGACGTACACACGCTCCAAATTTCAAATCATTCTGATTCGTAGAAAAAAACAGAAAAATGAAACACTACCAGACAACCGTGTCCATGCGATGAAGTTTAGACGATGATGAGCATAGGCAAAATCATTGTTCATTGTTGCTTATAAGCGTTGGGAAGACTTTATATGTATATATATAGAAGAGACTACACAGTGCCTATGGGCGGAAATGAATAGTGTTTTCACCCATAAGCGCATCGTCGTCCATTTTTTTTGGACGACATGGATTTTTCAACCGCCATGGACCTAGGTTCATGGCGGTACCATCATAGACATGTTATGTCTGTGGCGGTCAAAAAACATGTGGAAACTGCAATTGACGACTTGTTGTCCGCTGCGGTTTCGTTTGAAATACCGCCACAGACAAAGCAAGTTCGTGGCAGGGCGAAATACTGTAGCATTTCTGTATAGGCGTTTTTTAGGTTTTTCCTATATATATATAATCTACAATTTACAACCCTTCAAAATACAAAGGTTAATGTTAGGAATTGCGAAGAGTGGATTTACTAATTATGTGGTTTCTGTTGTAGAAAAAAGTTATTTTTTGTGGTAGCTGCTTATCAGGTAAGGGTGTTTGTGTAAATATTACTAAAAGGCAATTGGTACTATTGTTATCTTCATAAGGGGTAAATTTGAAATTTTTAATAAAGGATCAGGGTATTATACAACTAAAGTTCCAAGGCACTAACTTCTAAAATAACATTGTATGTATGTAAAAATTTCAAGGTTACCCTTACTTAATGATTAAGTTACCTATTAAAATATTTTTTTATAAATACACCCATCACAATCCATTCTGACATTAACCTTTGTATTTTGAGGGGTTGTTAACTCTAGACAAACCTAACATCATCATCATCATCATCATTGCCTTTTCCCAATTAATTTGGGGTTGGCTACATGAATCCCGGTCCGCCATTCTGTTATGTAAAAGGCCATACCCTCAGTGAGGCCATAAGTCCTCATATCTTTTCGGACTACTTCCAACCACGTCCTTTTGGGCCTACCCCTTTCCCTTTTCAGTCTTTCCACTTGAATTAACTCGCACCTCCTAACAGGTGTTGTACTTGGTCGGCCCCACACATAGCCAGTCCACCTAAGTCTACTATCTCTCACTCATCTTATCGCCTATTGGTGCCATAATATTAGAGAAAACTTATATATATATATATAGATAGGGTTATGTTAGGGTGCTCACACTATAGAGCATTTCATAATTGTACTCAACAAATTTGGGATACATATACTTTTATTTTGAACATGGAGTATTTTTTTAGTTAGGGTATTTTTGGTCATTAGGAGGGGTGTGCCATCATCCATATGGGGTGTGACGTCACCCATATGGAGCACAATAGTGGCATTTAATGTTCCATGTGGGTGATGTCACACCCCATGTGTATGATGTCACACCTTTCCTAATGATAAAAAATATTCTTACTAAAAAAATTCTCCATGTACAAAACAAGGGTATATAAAAGTCCAAAATTTGTTGAATACAATTGTGAAATGCTCTATAGTGTGAGCATCCTAACGTAACTCTTATATATATATATGTATATATATTGGAAATGCTTGCGTAGGTCCGCTATGCTACAACTACATATATGCCCAACGGCTTAGATTGAATCTGGGCCAATCCAATGATCATGATTGCATTTCGTATTTGAATTTTAAATTTTTTTATATAAATCCAAATCACTTGAAATTTTGGGAGTGTGTTCTTTAAAAATATTAGAATCCAATAAAAATCTTATAATTTTTTTTTACAAAAAATAAATTGAACAAAATACCCCTGAAACATTTCATGGGTATTATGGTCAATTTATATTTTGCGAATTATTTTTGTAATATTTTTATTAGGTGCGTGTTGATGAGAAGAATAGACACCTAAAATTTCTCATGATTTGGATTTATAGAAAAAAAATTAGAATTCAAATACGAAATGAGGTCGTTTCCATCAGATCAGTCCAGATTGAATCTAAGCCATTAGCTGTAGGCTAGTGGGCTTACGCCAGCATTTCCCTATATATATATATATATATATATA